TTTAATGCTTATTTTTTTGATAAAATTGTCAATGCATCCTGCGTGGATAAACGCTGAACGTTAACTTCCTGCGTGGGAAAACGCAGAAAGTTAGCGTTCAAACGTTCTTCTTACTTTATCAAAAGTCTGCCACTACGCTTGAAAAAAACTTTACTTTGCTTAGTTTATACATAAATCCTAGCAAACTATGCACTCTAAGAGATATCTTAAGTAAATGTCAATGCATCTGTAGATAGTTTGCGCTCTTTTAGCGCAATGCTAAGTTATTGAATAATATGCAAAATTTTCCAAAGTTGGCATGCGCGAAATTGAATGAGCAAATCCTTTTGCATACCAAATTAATCACACAAAATTATGGTCATTACTTTCAAAGTATGCATTTTTGATTTTTCAGAGTGAGATAATTGTTCCATTTACAAACTTGCAAACTGATACAACCTTGTCTGAGAGATTGAAAAAATAAGGCCAATAATATTTTTATTTTTGGGTGATGAGAATTGGTTTGTTTACAAAATGAATTGAAACGGAAGCATACTGAATGGTAGGAAAAAATTTTCTCATTTTTTTGCAATTTTCTATCCAATTTTGATATGTAAACACTCAACTTTACAAGAATGAGAAATAGTTTTCCTAGAAACCATGTCACGTCACGTCACGTTATGCTATTTTGCCATGTTCAAATAAAGTAAAATTTATACGAAAAATAATGTTGTATTAAATTTTTGTTCTAAAACTTCATCAAACGTCTCATACTTAAACAGTTAATTTCATTAATACACTATTAACACATAAATTTGAAATTCAAATTCAGTACGAAAAATTCTTGACAAATTTATACAAAACTCAGCTAATCATCTGTATCTTTATGTCTCTTCTCAGAATCACTTACACTGATTTCAGAACAATCTCAAGAGCAATGTTTAGATAAGACAACTTCCGTAATGAAAAACTTGCTTTCAATGTCAAAGTTTGAGGAGCGAAATTGTTCATATTCAGCTATGCAAAATATTTTCGCACGTGAAATAATGATGTAACAGTTCGTTACATTAGACTTGTTGTAATAAAAAATACTGTCATTGATAAAAATGGTAATTACCTGACAACCATTCCGTTCTGTCACTACTGCACAATCAAGACCGGTGCATAACATCGGTGGACAATTGTCAACAATCAGTTTCCCGAGATCCGCAATCACTGTGTTTTGACTTCCTGAATCAAATGCCATTATATTATTTGATCTAATTCAAATCTACGCATTCAAGCATAAATTAGTACACAAATTTAATAATCATAGTTAATTAATAATTTGCAGAATATTTTGTGGCATTAGGTAAAGCCTTGCAGAAATCAGTGCTGTCAATACAAAATGAGATTTTTGGAGTAGTTGTCGTAAGTAATTACATCAAAATGATACATTATTGCGTCACGTTCTTACGAAGAAAAATCGGAGAGACGTTTGTATGTGATGTAATGGGATATCAAGAATGCTATGTGCTCGTAAAGCGAGTCAATTGGTATCATTTTTGAGTTTAAATGCGCAAAAGTTGCATCTTCAAGTTTTTGATATATCTTCGTTTTCCTTCCATTTATTTTTATTCAGACGTATTGCATCATTTATGACACAAATTAACGTGAACTACCTTATGTATAATTTAGAAGATTTCATTGGCTAACTCAGTTAAGTGTAATTTTGCTATCAAATTTAAAAAATTATTCTTAATTCAATCATTATTGAAGTTGCATTGTAATGCCAAACTTTTAATATTAATAAATAATTTGGCAATTTTTAATAAACCGAAATATTCTTGGAAATTTTGATTTTTGCATCTCAAAGCAAAGGAGCACAGAGCTATTGAAGAGTAGTGCAGGAAATGACTTTGAATAAAGGCTAGAACGATCTCGTCCAAAAACTTTTATCCAATTCACTATTAATGCCATTCTCCACCACCAAATTGTCAAATTTCTTTTTTAGCAATTTTATAGAAAGCAAAAATTGCATAAATATTCTGACATATTAGCAGTAAGGATTATCCTCTTCGAAGCTTATTAAGCTAGCCACAACATAGAACTGTATAAGAAATGTTTACCGGATGAATACAGTTCCTTATGAGTTCGAATTTACTTCAGTGAATTAGAACTGATCAGAAATCACATTCAATCTGCACAGTAATAGTTGTCAAAATACTACTTCGGTATAATTTTTAGTATTTGAGCAGCTAATCTTAGCACTGGTGAGAAATATGTATTCTTGCCGCGCATCCCAAAAAATAACAAAATTCGAGTCCTAACTGATAAAATTTTATGACAAAAAGCTAATTAAATCGGTTTGATTAAGAATAATTAAATGAAACTGCTAGTGTGAGGTATCTCACACTCGATTTTTGCTTGTCAGAATTGAAAAAAAAACCAAATTGCAATGATCAAAATAGAAATAGAATAGAAATGAAAATTAAATGTTTTAGAATTACTTTGAATAATTTTTGGAGTAAGTTGAAAGTACTGAAAATTAAAAATTAAAAGCTTCAATCCCAATAATTTCGAAGAATATAAATATCAGCTAATAGAAGAAGCTTATATTCAAGGTAAGCACCAAGTTGAGGTCATTATTGAAAATATAATCTGATTTGCGATTTCATTCGTAAAATATGTTAGAATTACGTTTTATGTGAATTTTTCATATTAAAAAATCGAAGAGTTTCTCAATTTAACGAATTTTTTCAATAAATGATTGTAAATGCAACTGATAGCATATCAGTAAGTAACTTTTGCCGTCAATAATCAGAAACGGTGAGGTAATTGAAGATTACCATGCAGTGGGTTGCGAGCAGTCTGATGGATAAATAAAAGTCTGTTTGTTTTAATTCTTTAAAATGGAATCTGAAGCAAATAAGTTTGCATCTGTTACAGCATATTACATCCAATTATGATGTTATTTACAATTTTTCATTACACATTAATATATCACAAATACTTTGGAAATTAGCAATAAACTTACTTTGTGCTCGAACATCGAACATTAGCGAAACAATTAACAAAAATGCTTGCATGAGAAATGACTGCTGTAGCGTGGCAAACGTCATCACGTTCATCAGCAAGGATTTGATCGTAAAATGCTGAATGCAAGTAATTGCAGATGCCACAGTATCACAACACAGACCTGTTTATCTACGGCAAACTTTATTTGTTTACATACAAAAACAAAAAAATGCAATTTGTTATTAAAGTAAACCTTGAAGAAATAACAACATATTACTATTAATAGCAGTAATAATAATTTACTATCCATTAGCAATAATTATAACAATTTGATTATTCACACACGTAATAACTGACTTACTGATTAAATAAAAATAACACTAAGCAATACTTTCGAGCTCATTTCATTACTGCCATTTAATGATCGATGAAAAAATAACTTTGCAGAATATGATAGATAATAATGAAATGGATAAGGAATTGGTAAAAATTAAGAAGGATGTAATGTAATTAATGTACGAAAAAGCAGAAAGGAACATATAAAAAATATATGAATGAAAGATAAATGACTAACTGAATGAATGAATTAATGAATTAATTAATGGAAGGATAAGTGTGAGAGTGAGTAAATCAATTAATTAATAATAAGTAAATTTAAAGTTGTAAAGGGAGGATATGTGGCGTTGCACTGTCAAAAAAGCGCAGTTTTTAAGGTATTCAAAATAAGATGAAAAGAGTAATCAAGTGGAAGGGCTGCGGGGGAATAAGCGCAGTAGTGACGTGACA